AAATTTTATTATTTACAATACACAAGAATACAAAACTGCATCGTGTACATATCACAAAACAACAAAAACTTTCTGAATTAGCAAAATTATTGTCTTCATCTAAGCCTTCAACTTGGATGTTAGATCCAGTTCCAACCAGGTTATTTAAGGAGGTATTCCCTTTGATCTCCTCCTCCATTTTAGATGTGATTAATCTATCTCTGTTACAGGGATATGTACCTAAAGCTTTTAAGGTTGCTGGAATTAAACCTCTGCTTAAGAAACCGTCTCTTGACCCAGATGACTTGGTCAATTATAGACCTATATCCAATCTTCCTTTCTTATCCAAAATTCTTGAGAAAGTAGTTGCCAAACAAGTTTGCGATCACTTCCACCATAATGAACTTTTTGAAGAGTTTCAGTCTGGCTTTAGAGCTCATCATAGCACTGAAACAGCTCTGGTGAAAGTCACTAATGATATTCTCATGGCCTCAGATAATGGACTTGTATCTGTGCTCGTCCTGTTGGATCTCAGTGCTGCATTTGATACAGTTGATCAGAATAATCTTTTAGAAAGACTTGAATATTTTGTTGGAATTAAAGGAACAGCACTAGACTGGTTTAAATCTGATCTATCTGATCGAATTCAGTTTGTTCATGTTAATGATAGATCTTCAACACGCTCAAAGGTTACCTGTGGAGTACCACAGGGATCAGTGCTAGGACCAATTCTCTTTACTTTATACATGCTCCCAATTGGTAGAGTTATTAGACAGCATGGGATTAATTTCCACTGTTATGCTGATGATACCCAGCTATATCTGTCTATAAATCCAGATGAAGCTAACCCATTACATAGATTACAGGCATGTCTTGAAGACATAAAAACCTGGATGACTCTTAACTTTCTGCTTCTGAATGCAGACAAAACAGAAGTTATAGTCTTTGGACCAGAGTCTCTGAAAAAGAAACTGATTAGCCAGTCACTTCATTTGGATGGGATTAAACTGATTTCAGATAATAAAGTAAAAAATCTTGGTGTTATTTTTGATCAGGACCTGTCATTTAAATCCCAGATCAAAGAGGTTTCTAGAATTTCCTTCTTTCATCTGAGGAATATTGCAAAAATGAGCAATCTCCTGTCCAGGGGTGATGCTGAGAAACTAGTCCATGCATTTGTTACTTCAAGGCTGGACTATTGTAATTCTTTACTATCAGGAAGTCCACAAACTGTAGTTAAAAGCCTTCAGCTGATCCAAAATGCTGCAGCCAGAGTTCTAATGAAAATGAAAAAGAGAGATCATATCTCGCCTATCCTGGCTTCTCTTCATTGGCTTCCTGTTAAATCCAGAATAGAATTTAAAATCCTCCTTCTCACATATAAAGCCTTAAATGGCCAAGCTCCATCTGATATCAGAGATCTGATTGTTCCTGATGTTCCTAACAGAGCACTTCGCTCTCAATCTGCAGGTTTACTAGTGGTTCCTAGAATTTCTGAAAGTAGAATGGGAGGCAGATCTTTTAGTTCTCAGGCTCCTCTCCTGTGGAACCAACTACCAGTTTTAGTCCGTGAGGCAGACACTCTGTCTACTTTTAAGGCTAGGCTTAAAACTTTCCTTTTTGATAAAGCTTCTAGTTAGAGTGGCTCAGGTTATCCTGATCTATCTCTATAGTTATGCTGCTATAGGCTTAGACTGCTGGAGGACATAGGGACCCCTTTTTCATCATTCTGCTTCATTCTATCTCTGTTCTCCCACTCTGCAGAATCTGTTAGTTCAATCTCTAACCTTCTGCTCTCTCTGCTTTTCCTCAGAGTAGCTTTGCCTCGTCTGTTCCTGTTTGGCTGTGACGTCATCCTGGAAAGAAACATCAGCTGTGCTGCTTCTATCAACATCCTTGTTAATAGATGTTGGAGATCGGCCTGTTTTCCAGTGTGGTCCTGTTTCTCTGACCGTGACTGAGTGGATGTGCTCTCTTCGTCCTCTGGCATGGGAGCTGCCTTGGAGCTCGTCTGCCTGGCTGTGTGTTTCCTGGACGGGGCCGCCTTTTACAGCTGCTTTTTGTATCTCTGCTTCTGTCTCCTTGAACCCCAGTCGGCCTCGGCAGATGGCCGCTCACACTGAGCCTGGTTCTGCTGGAGGTTTCTTCCTGTTAAAAGGGAGTTTTTCCTCTCCACTGTCGCTACAAGCATGCTTAGTGTGAGGGATTGTATTTGAGTCAATGAGTCAATGCAATCAACTGGTTTTCCTTAGATAGAAAACTTTGTATCGATTTGACTGTATGATCTGGTTGAACTGTAAAGTGCCTTGAGATGACATGTGTTGTGAATTTGGCGCTATATAAATAAACTGAATTGAATTGAATTGAAAATTGAAATTGAAAAACATTTGCCAGGGGGAGCATTAACAAAAAACAATAAAAGTAATATAAGAAATGACAAAATAATCTTGTTTAAAGAAAAAACAGTACCAAAGGTGACAAAAATACCAGATGCCACAGTGAATCAACACAATAAATTATCTAAAATTCCAATTTGATTGCAAGCCAATAAAGTTGTTTTTGGTTTTTAATTTGTTGGAGATCGAATTGTTAATTGTAAATATATAATGTTTAAATTCAATCAAAAAATCTGAAAAGTCATTTTTTTTTTCTCAAAAATGTGCATTTATGAAGATGAAATTTAGCCTGAATAATTAATAAATTGATAAGAAAACTCTTCGCATTCATTCTTTCATTTTGTTGACAACCAAAGAGGACATTTACCCAATATAACTGAAATCCTATTGATATTTTTAACACAATAAAAGTACAAAAGTGTTGCCAAAATACTTTGGAATGATGACAAAACCAAAACTAATGAGTGACTGAGTCTGGGCAAGTTTCACAGAAGTACTTGGATGTGGATCAGTAGTTTCCACACAGCTCTGTTCCCAATCACTTCCGGTCTGTTATTTAAAAAAAAACAAAAAACATTTTATTGTGAAAGTTTCAGCGAAAGTCGAACCTCTGAACCAGGCTGGTGCATGGCGCGTGTTTTGAAGCTGCTTGTGGAGAGATGTCCTGGGCCGTGAGTAGTGAGGAAACAGGAAGCGATTCTTGTGGGATGGAAGAAGGAAATAGTGACAATGAAGGTTGGAAGATAGCAACATCAAAAAATGAGAAAAAGCGGAAAAAACAGAGATCAGTTAAAGGGGAATCTAGTTCAGAACAATCCAGTGATGATCAATCCATACATTCCACAGCACAACAAAATGAATTCAAAGTAATATTCAAAGTCGTTAATCAGGCAGACTCTTTTACAAATTGGAATCCGGTTCACTTAACAAAAACCATCAATAAACTTGTCGGAGAAGTCAGAGGTGCCAGAATTCTGTACAGTGGAGACCTGCTAATTAACTGCAGAGACAGCGCCCAGCAAGGCAAAGCAATACAGATCAACAAAATTGACGGGATAAGAGTTCAGTGCAGCCTAATGGAGAACAAAAAGATCAGCAGGGGAGTCATTGGAGGAGTTCCTCTAAAAATTTCTGAAAAAGAGATTCTGGAAAACATAAGCGGTGCAAAAGTAAAAGAAGTAAAAAGGTTAAAAACAACAAGAAACGGAGAAAGATCTGACAGTTTATCGGTGTTAATTAAATTCGAAGAAGAGCAATTACCAAGCAAAGTATTCATCGGTTACATAAGCTATAATGTCAAAATCTACAATCCTCCACCATTGAGATGTTTCAAATGCCAAAAATTCGGTCACATTGCAGCAGTTTGTAAAGGGAAACAGAGGTGTGGAAGGTGTGCAGGAGAACATGAGTACGGAAAATGTGGAAAAGAAGCTAAAATAAAATGCTGTAATTGTGGTGGAGAACATACTGCTGCTTATCGCGGCTGTGAAGCAAGCAAAAGGTCTGAGGAAATTAAAAAAATGAAATTTGAGCTCGGAATAACCTACGCTGAAGCTGCAAAAAGGATCCCATCTCAGTCAGAAAAACCCAAACCTACAGTTCAACACACAGCAAATTCCAAACCTCTAGAGAAATCTCCAAAAATTGATGAAGACTCACTAATTGTTAAAAAGACAAATTTTGTTCTTTTCATGGTAGAAGTGATTAATTGTACTGCACAGACAACAAAAAAAACTGAAAAAAACAAAATAATAGTGAAGGCTGCAGAAAAATATCTGGACATTAAAGATTTGAACTGGGAGATGGTTGGAAGCATGATGGGAGGACCGATGGGACCATCAGAAACTGGCAGAATTACGATGACCTAGAGTAAATTAAAATTATATGGGCAAATGTGATTTAGTATTATGTTGGTTTAAGTTACACAGGTTTTTTTTTTTTTTGGGGGGGGGGGGGGGGGGGTGAATCGTTTCCTGTTTTCTTGCTTTACTCCATATCAGTTGGTGGCGGTAATGCACAATTCACAAGTCTGCCAACCGCCATAAAATCTCATAAGAAGAAGAAGAAGTCGAACCTCATCATTTTGCCATCATTTGACACAAGCTGAAATGGGAAGCCAACGGAAGACGAGAAGTTTCCTTCTTTCATTTTAAAAAGTCCCTGAAAGCGACCGGATTAAGTCATGGAAAAGAAAACCAAATAGCACCAAACGTTTGGGATTGTTTGACCTCGCAGAAGGTAGGAGACTTTGTTCAGATATCTACCCAACTGCCGCCGCTAACCTCCAAGTGTTAGCTAACTGCTCGTTAGCATATTAACACAGCAGCCTTCTGCTGGAGCCGAGCAGTCAGACAACCTTCAATATTAAAAACAAGCTAAAAGAAACACTTTTTATTTCACTCAAATTGTACCTTAAACGTGAAACTGTGAGTTAAGTAAAACTTTAGTGATGTTTCGGCGTTATTATTCAATTATTTCACTCGTGACACTGTTGCTGTGTGTCAACCTCCCCCTACATGACGCGCTCAAACAGCCAATCATATCGCAGAGCTTATTGACTGATTGGACTCTCAGCCAATGGGAATGAGGCGCGGTCTAAGGACCTCCCCTTAGCGCGTTTGCTGTGTTTCCGGCGCAGTATGCTGGATGCTGATGCTGTGGAGGCTTGTTGATCAGTAGCATCATGATGTCGGTCGACATGCTGTGCTGTCAGCAGCATTATGTTGACCTCTGCCTGGGCTTTCTCCTCTTCATAGCCGGACTGCAGCAGGTGGAAGCGGCCGCCGACACAGAGATGGTCAACTTAAACTGGAAGCCCTTCATCTACGGAGGAATGGCCTCGATTGTCGCAGAATTCGGTACGTGATGCAGCAAAGCGCAGAGATCATCGCTTCCATCTTTTTCATTTTTTAACTGGAATATTGTGCAAACACTGTGTCTATTTATCTGCCCCACTAATGCATCCATGGTAACCAGCTTCTGAACCTTAGAGCTGTCAGCAGCAGCTGCAGCAGAGGGATGATGACTCTGGTTTCACAGGGTAACTGATGCTGTCGGATAAATTTAAAGACAAAATTAAATTAAGCTCTTGAATAAGTTGGGATTAGATGTCCACAGTTAACAAAGTGAAGGATCCAGCAGAAAGGCGGTTGGTCTAATTTGCATCTCTCACTCCATATCAGTAGGTTAGAGTTGTTAAAGGAAAGCTCTGTGTCTGCACCTTCAAGCTTTCTCTCTCCTGTTCTTTTCCTGAAAGGGAATCATTCAGGACAAACTTTAAAGTGGCAGGGAAATCATATTTAAACGTCAAATCATTCTGGCTTAAACATGTATATAAATGTCCTCTTTATCAGACCATATTGTTCCAAAAGTTAAAACATTTCTATTTTTTAAAAATCCTGTCTTAAAATCTGTCTTTGCTTCGTTATCTTCTGCAGGCCAGTTAGTTCTACGTCAGCCTGAACACCTAAATTCAGCCAATCATATATCAACGGTCATCTGTCAATCAAATGTTTTCGGTCATAGCATCTTGGTTCATATGTCGCAGCTAATATACGCAGCGGTTGAAATCAGAATCCTTTCCTTTCCCATTGAGTTCCGTCCCAGTGTTCACGGGGATGGACGTCTGTGTCTTCGGCAGGCGTAGACCAACACCAAGCGGTTTTGATTGTGTAGTGAAAGTAAGCGATTAATTGATTTTATAGTTTTACAGGTAAAAATAAAAAAAAGATAGCGCTCTGTTGTATTCAGCTCCCATTGCTTTATGTTTAGATAAAATTCAGTGCATGAATCACATTCGGAAGTTGCCTATTTAATCACCAATGAATCGAATTTAACTGTGTTTAGATTGATCTCGGTGTAAATGCAACTGCTCTTTGAAGATCTCAGAGGTAGAGAACAAAAAGTGTTATAAAGGCATTGGAACAAAGAGGAACAATTATGGAAAAGTTTAAAGTAGAGTTAGTTTACAAAACAATACCATGCTTTGGACGTCACTCATATTACAAACATGAAAATATTGGCAGAAAGAAATGAATGGATGAAAGCAAGACATAGTTAAAATATAGTTTGGCTGATCTATCAGTGCATCCCTAAAACATCCCAGTCAAAGCTTTACTTAAATCCAAATGAAAATATGTGACAGGAGTTAGAAAATCAATTTCACAGAAAATCTCCATCTTTCTTGACTGAGTTTGAGCTGTTTTGGAAAGACGATGGAACAAAATCCCAGTCTGTAGATGTGAAAGAGACGTGGCTCCAAAGATTCACAGCTGTTACTGCAGCTAAAGTCATTTCACTAAATATTTGTTTTTTTCATCCTCAAAAAGGATGCTGCAAATTTCTGATTTTCACGTTAAAAATGGTAAAAACAGAGCAAGATTCCACTTAATATTTAGCAGTTTCTTAGTCTAGCGCATAAAGTCACAATAAAATCTATTAAAAGTTTTAAGTTTGTACATTTAAAATGTGTAAAAATATTCAGACAGCTTGTATTTGATTTGATGGATGTTATTTTTTCCCCTAATGGCAAAATAAGGTTTATTGTTAGTAAAATGCCAAACGGTGGGACTTTGTAAGTCAGTCTAGATAACTAAGTCATAATCGGGTGTTTTTAGGAGTTAACACGTTTAATTTTTAATCATTGCTTCTATTTTTCATCTTCAGGGACATTTCCCATCGACCTGACTAAGACCCGCCTACAGGTGCAGGGTCAGTCCCAGTACACCGAGGTGCGCTACAGGGGCATGTTCCACGCGCTCTTCAGGATCGGCCAGGAGGAGGGGATCCGGGCGCTGTACTCTGGGTACGCTGTGGGTATTTCCGCTCACGTTTCCTTCTTTTTCTGACTAAATGCAATCTTTCCTATATGAGCAGATTGTTTATACCAGGGGTCACCAACGCCGTGCATGCAGGCACCAAGGGGCCCCCAAGGGCCACATGGGGTGTTCTGTCTTTTTTATTTGTTTATCTGACAGAGACATTGTTCATTAATAAGCCTTCCAGCAAACGCACCACAATTAGCCAAAAGGCTATTTTTCATCTGTTTTCCCTGGACAGAGCTAAAAAATGTCTAAACCTAAAAACACAACAGCAAGAATTTTACAATGAAAAATAGAAATATAAAAAGAAATAAAAACAGCTATAACTCTTCAAAACTTGTTTAAAAATACAGAATGAATGTAAAAAATGTTTTCTAAAAACCAAACAATCACCAAGTTTGAAACACTTTCTTTTTCTGTTTCTCTTCTCTGTTAATCATTCATAGAGAATTTTATATGAACCATAAAGGGCATTTCAGCATTTATAAAGATTTCAAAATTACAATATCTAAAAGAAAATTTTAAAATAAAAATATGCTTATGATGTGTGAAGTGTAGGTGACCTCTGACCCCTCCAGTTCATAGGTACCCATGAAGTCTTGAAAAGGTTGGTGACCCTTGGCTTATACCTTTTGAGGACTATGGTAGAATCAGTTAACCTGGAACACCAGCCTGTTTGTTTACATTTTATTTCAATTCTATTCAGTTTATTTCTATAGCTCCAATTCACATCATGTCATCTCAGGTCACTTTCCAGTTCACCAGATCATCCAGTCAGATTGATTCAAAGTTTTCTATCTAAGGAAAACCAGCTGATTGCATCGACTCATTGACTCTTCAGCAATCCCTCACACTAAGCATGCTTGTAGCGACAGTGGAGAGGAAAACTCCCCTTGAACAGGAAGAAACCTCCAGCAGAACCAGGCTCAGTGTGAGCGGCCATCTGCTGAGGCCCACTGGGGTTCAAGGAGACAGAAGCAGACATAGAAAAAGAAGCATAGATACAAAAGGCAACTGTCAACCAGCTCCACAGGCGGCCCCGTCCAGGAAACACACAGCCAGGCAGACGAGCTCCGAGCCAGCTCCCATGTCAGAGGATGAAGAGAGCACATCCAGTTAGTCACAGTCAGAGAAACAGGACCACACTGAAAAACAGGCCAAGCTCCAACATCTAGAAACAAAGGTGTTGATGGCAGCAGCACAGCTGATATTTCTCTCCAGGATGGAGTCACAGCCAAACAGGAACAGACCAGATGAAGCTACTATGAGAAAAAGCAGAGAGAGCAGAACGTTAGAGATTGAACTAACAGATTCTGCAGAGTGGGAGAATAGAGATAATAACACTTTACTAAGACTTAATGGGTTGTATCAGTGAAATGAGAAAATCATAAACTTTACGTCATCAGATCAATTGTATGTTTTTCCTAGGATTTCCCCGGCCCTTCTGAGACAAGCTTCATACGGCACCATCAAAATAGGAACGTACAATTCTCTGAAGCGGCTCTTCGTCAGTCAGCCAGAAGGTAACTTTACTCTCTTTTAATTTACTTCCAGAAACTTTGGGTCGGATGAAACCTTATCATGAAATGATTACCAATTAAATAATGTTTTTTAAAATCTGGATTTAAAAAAGTTAAGAACATTTTTATTTCATAGCTGCATCAACAAAGCACACGTGGTGAATAAAACCTTAGTTTATAATCTGGTATTTGGTCTTTTTGTTAAGGCTTCATTTGACTGTGCATCTTTAAACCTCTGACATTTTGAATGTGATAAACTGAGTTTAGAATCAGACTATTTTCCCTTAAAATGCTCAGCATCTTTAATAGAGTATAAAATATTAAGAGGTATTTTATTTGTTGCAACAAATGAAATAGATCTAAAAACTTCAACACTGTAAAAAATGTAAAAATAATTTTAGTGTATTTAGCCTTAATTTAGGCAGGTAAAATAAGATAATTAGAAAATATGCACTTCAAATAATACAATGGAATTGTTTTTTCTTATTTTAAATGTAATTTTTCTTGTTCCTGTGTCTCACTTACCTCCTTAATTCAAAAACAAAAATATACTTATTTTAAGAGAAAATGACTTATTTAGATTTCCATTTTTCCAGTGAACCTCCTTTCTGTGGATGAAAAAGCAAAACTTTTCTTGTATTTTATGGCATTGCTGTTGATTTATTTTAGATGTGAAACTTTTAGGATATTTGTAAAAGTTCCATTGTTGAGTTTGAGATTAGGACATTAGATGAGATTCTGCTTCGCTGAATAGAAATAAATGTCACAACAATTACAAAATGGAGGAAACTAAAAGGAACTTTGTCATGTTAAAGTATAAAACATTTTATAAATGCGCATGCCAGTAGCTCTCTGTTTGCAGACAAAGGTTTTGTCCCACGTCCTGCTGTTGTGTCATTTTTTAATTATGTAGTTTTTGCACATTTTGTTAGTGAATAAATATATATTTAAAAAGACAAAGGAGGTTAATTTTTGCTGGGGGAAAACAAAGAAATACTGGCCTGCTAAACCCAAACGAATCTAAAATAGACTATTGATCCCTAAAGGAAAATAAATGTGGCGGCGGTGACGCGTTGGTTTGGATGTTGTAGATGCAGACGGCTGCAGAGAGGAAGGATCTTCTGTTGCAGCGAATTGGCTCCATCCAGACCTCCATCTCTCTGTCCTCCTCCTGCTTGAAGCCTGTCCTCTTCTTCATCTCTGATATTATTCTGCTGGATTACTCCATCCTCCTCCTTGCTTTCTTTTGCCTTATCTGTATACTCAGTAATTCCCCGTCTTCCTTCCTGAAGGCTCTTTCTTCTTGAAAAGGTTGGTGACCCTTGGCTTATACCTTCTGGTGGGGATAGTTATATCTACACAGAAGTTTATCTCCTCATGCGGCTGACAGTCCCAATCTGTAGACTCTAACCACCTTAGAGGGCTTTGTAACGGCTGCAAGCATTCATTTATAAGTGTTTTTCGCCTCTTCAGCTTCTACTTATACCCTAAGCAGAAAAAAAGATTGTAATCCAGTTTTCATCTTACTTTAGAGATATACGAGTCTTTGAATATTTACTTAAAGCAGGTCTAAAGTTTTGTTTCCTCTGGTGGAGCAGCCCAAACAATCTGCTGCCCCACTGCTTTACAAACCAAATGGGATTAAAACCAGTTCCAGAAAAAGGAAATGTTTGTTTGGAGTGAATCCATCCTGTTGCCCTCACAGTTTTCATCAATGGAAGTGTGAATAAAAATGTATTATAAGTGATGTGAAAGATTGGCTGTTATTTGAAGCTTGCATAAAGAGATGGAGGGGGGGGGGGTGGTGGAGTCATTTCTTTATCTCCAGTTTACACAAAGGGATTTCAGGTGATATCCAAATTACTTATAGCTTCACTTAGTCGTAAATAAGCGGCGCCACGATGTTTTTCAGACTCTCAGGATGTTTATGGTCACTCTTGATCCCCCCCCCACCCCATTGCCTTTTTCCTACTGACTGGTTCCGTCTTTATTCTTTATCTGTCAGCACTACCTGCCATCAGCAACAACATGCTCGTCTGTTTAACGCCAGACTGAGAAAAGTTCCTGTAGTATTGTTGAAAAACCACAGTAATGCATTGATTCCTTCCAGTATTGCAGACACTGAGCTGGTAGGGCTCAGGTTTAGTGATTTTTACTGACAGTATGAAGATTAAATACGGGGAATTCAGACTGTAGATCTGATCAAGCTGAAAAATCAGTTCATCTCTTATGTCCCAATATTGAAATTTAAACAGTCCTCACTCTGCCCTGTTTGAAACGGGACATAAAACCATTAAAAACAAAAACAAAATCAGTACGTCAGAAAAAAACATGAATATTTTTCATCTGGATCTGTTGTAATGTTTAAAAATTGAAAGAACTGCAATGACGCCAACTTTGTGTCTGGGTTCGCAGACGAGACGATGATCATCAACGTGTTCTGTGGGGTCGTATCCGGAGTGATGTCCTCCATGCTGGCCAACCCCACCGACGTCCTCAAGGTGATTGTTGGTGCTAACCTTAGCAACATGTCCCTGTTTGATGATACATAAAAGCTGTTCTTTGTTGGTTAGTTGGCGTGACATGTCAACTTTTAGGTTGTATTTAGGTAAATAATGTCAGTATGTAGTAACTACCGTGTTTTCCAGACTATAGATCGCATCGCTCTGTAAACCACACCCCCTACATTTTTTTTAAATTGGAAAAGTAAATATAAACACCGCTCCGGGCGCTATAAGCCGCTGACATCTACTGAACTGTTTCCCATTGTCTTCACCCGATCTGTCCTGGAAGCGCGATCCGTCCTGGAAGCGCCATCCGTCCTGGAAGCGCGATCCGTCCTGGAAGCACGATCGGTCCTGGAAGCGATCCATCCTGGAAGCGCGATCCGTCCTGGAAGCGCGATCCGTCCTGGAAGCGCGATCGGTCCTGGAAGCGCCATCGGTCCTGGAAGCACGATCCGTCCTGGAAGCGCCATCCGTCCTGGAAGCGCCATCCGTCCTGGAAGCGCCATCCTTCCTGGAAGCGCCATCCTTCCTGGAAGCGCCATCCGTCCTGGAAGCGCCATCCGTCCTGGAAGCGCCATCCGTCCTGGAAGCGCCATCCGTCCTGGAAGCGCCATCCGTCCTGGAAGCGCCATCCTTCCTGGAAGCGCCATCCTTCCTGGAAGCGCCATCCGTCCTGGAAGCACGATCCGTCCTGGAAGCACCATCCGTCCTGGAAGCACGATCCGTCCTGCGCATGCATGAAAAGAATAATAAGATCCGTATCGCCTAAAAACTATGTAATAACAGTTCTGAAAATAGTCTATATACTTAAAACATTAAAGAATGCTAAACTACATCCTATAGAAAATATTGAAGACTTCTCTGGAATAAATGGATACGTTTTATTTCGTGGCGTCATCATTGGACATGCTCTCAGTAGTACCAGTAATGTTCCAAAGGTTATTCAAGTGGTATTTTTAATGTAGTACTTTTTGTTTTTAAAATATTCAATATATATATATATATATATATAATTTATTTATTTATTTTATTTATTTAATACAAAAATATTCAAAAATAACACCATGCCTTAAAAAGACAAAAGGATAAAAAAAAAATGAGAAAACAAAGTATTGCCTCCCTGGAAGTTATTTTGTTTGTGCAGGACGGATCGGGTAGTGAGACCCACCAAACCTGTAGGGGGAGCTCTACATATAGCCCCTAGAGGAGGAGAATGCTAGCTCCCATTAGCTTGATAGCTTCATCAGCTCTTTATTTCAGCTCTGCAGGGGTTCAGCCCAGGCTCTTCATTGGTTCAGCAGCTTTAATGCAGCAAATAAATGTCAAAATGTGTGAGTTTGGGACATTAGTTCTCATTCATACCTGCTGCTAACCTGTTCTTAGCACCTTAAGGCTGATTTATGCTCATAAACCAGGTGGTCTGCGTGTGTCGCAGTTGACGCAGATATGCCCCGCCCCCTCCTCAGACACTCTGCTGCACCTCTCCCTAACTGTAGGTGACCGCAGACAGGAGGCCTCTGATTGGTCAAATCTACATCCGCTCTACTCTATGCGTATTTCCTGTTTGGTTCCTTACCGCCTGGTTTTGTTTGTCTGGCCGCCATTGTGGAAAACGACTGGTGAAGATGGAGCAGCTAGCAGAGCGAGGAGCGTGAGAACGCTGGGACCCTTTTCCCACCTGGATCCCCGCTCTTTTTAGCCCTCATGTCCCTCCGTTGCCGCAAAGACTTGCCCCCACTTCCTCTCCGCCTCGGCCGTATCTAGACCCTCAGCTAGTTCCTGATTGGCCCTCTGGCGTTGTGGCGTTGAATAGCATAGCGCAGACGACGCTTCAATATTGGGCAGAAATCAAAATAACTGCGACACACTGCTGGGGGAGGAGAACCAGGCCTTCTTTATTCTTTAACTTCCAACTTCGTCTTCCCCCTCTGGGGTTTAGGAAAAATCCACAGAAAAGCCGCACCTTCTTATAAGCTGCATAGTTCGAAGTGAGGGGAAATAGTAGTGGCTTATAGTCTGGGAATTACGGTAATAAGGAAAATCTGCTCCCAGTTTCTCATGAAATCTGCTGGTCCAACTATTACAGCTGGCAGCTAATTAACCTTAGATCTGTGCAGTGATTTAATCAATGGATTTACTTGAAGTATTAATATAAATCAGTAAAAAATAAAACTTGTTTGATTGAAATACTTTCTTTTTTCTACTGTTTTTATTTCAGATCAGAATGCAGGCACAGGGCAGCCTGTTACAAGGCAGCATGATGTCCAACTTCATCAACATCTATCAGACAGAGGGCACCAGGGGGCTGTGGAGAGTGAGTTCCTCATACTTCTGCCATCTCTGCTGCCTTTATGTTTGGAACAATCAACCTCCAACCAACCCCACCCTGATCATAATCATCCTACTTTACCTTTAAAACAAAAAACCCTGGTAGATTGGTGTATTACCAGAAATGGTGATTTTATAATATTCATGTTTTAACACAACAGTAAGGAATTCGGTTGTATTTATGTCTAACATATTTCCCAACATATTGTTTTTAAAATGCGTGTTTAATTGTAGAATTATACTTACATTTTTAACAGCCGGACGACATTTTTCTTTCACTGAATGAGTTCTGGGAAGCTGCTCCGCTTGGACGTCGGCTCCCGACCTGACAAAGTCTGAAGGGATAATTTTAAGGGTTGGAGGGCGCTTCCTCCTAGCTCTTAACATTATTGGGACAAACTACCTTTATACGTGAACACGCCAAACAGAGCCTAGGGTCCAAAACGAGTCCAAGTGAGAGAAATACGACTGGGTCCAAATCTAGTTCTCTGAAGCATAGTCTATGAAAATATGAATCTCAGTATAAAATCCAGTCGATCTTTAAAGGCGTCAGGTTTATTAAAGTTCATTAATAAACAAAAGGTATCATTGGTAACACACTATACGCTGAGTCCACACACTCCAACCCCATTTAAGCGATTGCGTAGATTACATAGTCCAATATATAATACCACAAGCCCCATAACAAAGAGCCCCAAAATACTAAACCGCACTAACTACACTCCCAAAAACTATCAACCTACTAGTCCAGCCGTTTGTTCATACATCAATTAAATGCACTCCCTCTGCAGTCCAACAGTGCTGATTCCTGTCTTACTTTGTCTCACCCTGGCTCCTTGTGAATAGTTTTCCCCCTGATCTCTCCAAGGTTCTGGTTATTGTTAATTTTTAATGTTGGATTTTTGATTCCTGTATTGTTTAACATTTATTAGTTGGAATTTTTGGATTCCTAGTTTTGCTACCTGTGTTATCCCCATCAAATCATCCCAAGAACTCACCCCTCCTCTCAGCCTCTCATTTTGGGTCCTCAAAAAACCTCCAAACAAACCCTCCATATTTAGGTTAAATAGGCACTCTTCTCTGTGTTGATCCAGATCCTAAAATAGGATTTCCTAGTTGAAACATCAGATTCCTATCAAACTGTTAATAACAGATTTCTAAATTATAAATTTTGCATTAAAACTTAATTTCACAAAAAAAAAATTAAATTGTAAATATATATATATATATATATATATATATATATATATATATATATATATAATGAAAAATTACAATAACTCATAGTTTTTTGTTTTTTTTTAACCAGTTGTAGGTGTTAATAAATGCTGCAGGCAGGCAGTACCTTCTATAGCATTCTGCATTGCACCGGATCTGGATAAGCCTTTTACTGGAGACACTGTTGTTATTTAATAATTTTCTGAAGTGGATGATCACGGTTGTCAATAATTTCTTTCACTTTATGAAAAATTGTTCTTCCTGAAATCACCTCTGGAGGTGAGTTACTAAAACAGAGCTTGTCTTCTTTATTAGTTTGTTGAGCTTGTTTAAGTAATTTGATCTGATGCTGTTACCCCAGCAGATGATAGAAGAAGAGGTCACACTCTCCATTACAAACATAGATATATAGCATCTTGCTGCAAAAGACATAATCTTCCTGAGCAACAGTTTGTTCTGTCTCTTCTTGTAGACAGGCGAGTAGAGTAACCAAAAATTGTACATAAGTAAACTTAGGACTGCTTCATTATATTTTTAGTCAAGTAAAAGTGTTCTTGGTAAAAAGGCTACTCAAGTGCTGAGCAACTGATCTACTTATAACCCATGATCATAAGAACAGATTTAATATTTTTTGTTATGAAACTTACAAAATAAATAGCTACAGTGTGTTAGAATAGGTTAAATTACAGTATACTGTTTATTGTATTTTTACTCAACCTCCAAATGACATAGTAGATCAGTTAGATCAGTCTTTTCGCTTCACTCTGTGTACTCCGACGTCGAGAATCAAGAATCCACCTTTCGTATTCCATTTTCAGAGTTTTTTAAAGTGTTTCACAGAGACGTTAGCACCTCGACGTCGGAGTACACAGAGTGAAGCGAAAAGACTACAACTGTGTAAACAGGCCCCATTTCCGTTTCCGGTGGCAGGGGAATATTGACTATTCCAACAGAACTCAATGGGATTTACAAAATGCTAAATAAAACACTACAGGAACGTTTTTTCTTCACGAAACTTTTTTTGGAACGTCATTGAACAGCGCTGACGACCCGGTGAGTAGCATATTTTAAAAAAAGAACGTTTAAGGTTGTTTTAAGGACATTATCGGACATGCTCTATGGTAGCCATTCTAAAGCAGCCAGGGGTGGATTCTAAATGAGCCAAAAAGCAGAGACAGGACCAATTGTCAAAATTTTGGTGTCGATCATTCGATTTCATCCTGGACACTACAGAAAATGGGCTAAAAGTGTTAAAAACCGAACTTCTCCTTTAAAAAGTTATACTAATCTACAAAGCTTTGAAGTTTTTTAACACGTAATTTTTCTCATTGGTTTCAAAACAAATTAGGTTGTCCTATGGTAAAGTATTTGATAAATACTACAAAAGCATTACATATATTTTCATTTACATTGATATTGCAGTGAATACAAACGTGCAATTTTTATAAAAAGGAAATCTGAAGGAAAGCCATTTAAAAATGTTTTTGTGCTATAAGTATTTCGGAAAAGATTCCGTGATCGTTTTGTCTTGGACAGAAAAAAAAAAAGGAGCAGTTTCTATTTATATGCACTCTATTTTTAGCCTCAGTGGGGCCACAGAAACAGACAAATCGAAAAGCTCTGCACGTGACAGACTAAGCCTCCACAGTTCAGTGCTTCCACCTACTCGCGTGCAACCTCCATCCTCCATAGACCATCTAATTGAGGATCTTTTCCCTTTTTTTTTTCTCTCACATTGCAAGTCATTCATCTTTCCCCCCTCATTCTTCTTTCACCTGTTCTCTCACTCAAATTCATTTACTTTCTTACTCTCTATCCCTCTTTCATGCCTCCTTTCATTCATTCGTGAAACACTGACTATACAGTCACGTTTTGCTTCATACTTTGACAAACCCCTCAAGGCAAGCCATTTCAGGATGTTTCACCGTGAAGCAACACACCAACTCTGTCACTCTCACAGACGTGTGTACTCCTCACATACACACATTTGCATCGCCCAAACTGAAACACACTTTCTTCCGGGTTTTTTTTCTGCTCCAACACGTGAATGCTTAACCTGCCACAACTGAGCAGGTTATACCACACCACGATGTTGTCTTTGATGCACCCAATTATGACAAGCAGCTACAAAAAGAGGAGGGGATTCGCTGAAGGCAAGAAATGACAATATTTGGATAGAATCATGAATATATGAATGCAAGACAACTAAAAATAATGAAAGGTTTTATTCTTTTATTCATACACTCCCCCCTCCAAACCTCTGCCCACTCTCCTCATTCGGAATCAGTCAGCTTATGCTGTTGCTTTGCTCTCTGAGGACATGTGCTAAAAATAGAGGTGTTTCCCGTGCACGTTTCTGAATTATTTTCCTCAGCACTAATCCTGTCACTGCTCCTTTCCCTTCTTTCCCTTGGCATGCACTCTATTCATTCTGTTACAGTCGTGTCGCATGAACACAAACACAACAATACAAAGTTGGCTACTAAATTTATTCTGTCACATGGACTGAAAGTAATGCTTCTAATTTAAGCACGAATGACACCCTCTCTATTTACACTCTGTTAATTATGTTTTTCATTTATCCAATCCAAGATTTTACTTTGGCTTGGGAATGAAAGCTCAGCTAAGAAAGTCCAGTTGTAAATGAGATGAAAAAACAATATTGTACATAAAGACGAGATCACAAACTCTGACTACAAAATTTGTTTGGAGGATTACAATAATGCCTCTTTCTTTTATTTTTTCCTTAGCAATCAAGTTTTATTTATGTTTGGGATTAAGTTTTGTGGTTGTGCTGTATTTATTTTTGGAATGGAGTAGAATAGAAGATAAGAGAAGGGAAGAGAATGAAATAGAATAGAAATAACCTAAATTGTCCCCCAATGGTTTATCAATGTCAAACACAATAGAAAGTTTAAAGATACATCCAGACATCATGCAGATTTAGACTGTATCTATATACTTGTGATTCGATCTGCATAACTACCAGAGCCACAACAGAAACTTAAAGATAGTTAATTTTTTTGTTTTTATTTTCTTACAAAAGCCTTTCCTTGACTGTGACTAACAGTTTATAGCCTAACTAAAAGATACAAAGCCGTGATAAAGAGTTGTCATCGTGTTTTGATATCAAGGTTCTTATGTTCCATTGTGATGTGAACATTTTTTACGTTGCAATGATGACACACAACACCTAGGAAGGATATGAAGCGGATAACTATCAACACAATGGTAAGGACTGGAAATTACCGATAGTTGTTCCAAGACCAAACACTTAAGCAGCTCTGCTTCATGTTTTGGATCTTGAAATGGTTAAGTTTTGGAGAAACCCTAAGACATTTGTCCAGATTCCTAGAGAAAAGAGCAGCATTGCCCAAATCCAAATTGAGAATCAGACCCGATTTTCCCAAACGTTTGCCAACAGTGTTGTTTTTGGACAGCCACCTTATATTTAGTCCTTATTTCAGACGCAAAACTATGATTAGTCTTTGTCGCATTTTAGTCATTACAATATATGAGATAGTTTTAGTCTGTTATAGGTCGACTAAACTTAAGAAAGCTTTTTGTCAAGTTTTTATTCATTTTATTTGGCCAGAAAGTGAACCTTTACAATTTTGATAACAACCAGATTCTTTAACCAGACTGACAGCTCTAGCATAGATACAACAATTGTTGGTTATAAGAATGCTGCCATGGAATTCATCAATGCTGTTTTGGGCAGAAAACTTTTAATTCATAGATTTCAAATAAAGATTTTATGAATTAATCCCTACTTTAGAAAAAAGTGTCCCACAAAAGCTGTGAAAATAGGCAGACGTTCAAAACATCATATTGGTTAATATAAGAATAGACAAGCTAAACAAAATCTAC